ACGGCACACAAAGCAGGACGAATGATTGGGGAATCTCGAAAGTAGAAAGGAATGCCACCTGCTTTACCCTCATCCGTATTTGTCAAATGGCCCACCTTGGACAGGCAGGAATTAATCCCTCTTGTGTTTCCCTATTGCTTTCCCAAAGACCCATCAAGCCCAGGGCTGACTGGCTGCATCTCTTTGCGGGTCTCTCGGGGTGGGGGGAATACCCTCCCAGCCCCAATACTTGAGATCTTCCACAGGAAATTAAACCCAGGACTGTATACATAATAAATAAAAACCACCACCATTTCCTACTAAGCTGCAGAGTTTCCTTCCCTAGATCCCTTGCAGGCCTTTTGCCCATGGCAATAAGAGCATCCTTTCCCCCTGCACCTGCTTGTTGTGTTTCCTCTTCCTCCTCTGACCTGCCCACAGAGCCCTCAGTTCTGCTGCCATCGCAGCTCAAAGCTGGGAAGCTGTTGTGTCATTGACTGCCTGGGCTGGGCACGCCCGTTTGCCAGTCCAACGTGGCACAGGGCGGAGCGGAGGAGGCGAGCTGGTCCTCCCTGTCAGCTGCTGCCTCAGCACGTGTCAGGCCCTTGGCCCGGGATGTTCTGTGGTTAAGGCCAGGGAGCAGCTCAGGCAGCACTAAAAACAGCTCCGCCTGGAGCTATTCTCATCCCGTCAATATTTATATAGCTGTCTCAGGTGCAGCACCTCGTTCCAGGGACGTTTTATTTAGGGGCCGGTGGGAGGCAGGGCGCAGAGTTCAATTGGGAGAAGCATCAGCAGGAGGAAGAGGTTTCGGAGGCCGAGCCAACGGATAGAAGAGCATTCAGCTCCCCGCGGAGACTGACGGCTGGCCTGCGAGAGCTGGCAGGGATGGGGAGGGCACCTTTAGGCCACACAAACACTCCTCTTCTCCTCTTCCCACAAAGGCAGGCAAGGAGAAGATGGCAGGGAGGAGGGAGACTCAGGGCAAGATGCTGTGCAATAGGAGGCTGGAGGCTGCCATCTCCTCTTCAGAAAGCACCCTGTAGCCTGGTTTGGATTAAAATTTAAAGTTGATGGGTATTTCAGGGAAGCCTGTGTTGTGAGCCATACCTTGCCCAGAGTGCCAAGCCTGCAGTCAGTGCCAAGCCGGGTCTATGAACTTCTTCATACAATGCTTCTTTTTGGGGGCTGCTACTGGAAATTCCATCACCCCAAAATGTGTGTGTGTTTTTTGGGGGTGGCTATCTGGGAGGGATTCTTCTCTGTGGCAGCCCGTAAGCTGTGTTATTCCCTCCACATAGAGGTACACCTAGTAAAGCTTTCAACATATGCTAAAGAAGCATTTCTTTACCCTGGCTTTTTACAGCTGAGATAAGTATACAGAATTGTAGAGTTGGAAGGGACCCCGGGGGTCATCTAGTCCAGTGTTTCCCAACCGGTGTTCCGCGGCACACTGGTGTGCCGTGAGACCTTGCCTGGTGTGCCGTGGGAGGGAGGCGGGAGAGGCGGGGCGGCAGCGGCATCTCCTGCTGGATGCAAATCCAAACATGGCGGGCGCCTCCCTCGCTCCTTTGTAGGCGGACCATCGAGAGAGAAAGAAAAGGAGGCGAAAGAGCGAGAGAAGGCGCCTGCGCGGAAAGAGGAGCGAGCAGTGCGCCTGCGCGCCACGGCGCCCGAGATCGCTTCTCCCCACCGCCCCTTGCTTCAAAAGAGGTCCGGGGACAGCGGGAAGCGCTTCGCGCTGCCCCCGGACCTCTTTTGAAGCAAGGGTTTGCGGGGAGAAGCGATCTCCCTGCAGCCCCTTGCTTCAAAAGAGGTCTGGGGGCAGCGGGAAGCGCAGCACTTCTTCCCCGCTGCCCCCGGACCTCTTTTGAAGCAAGGGGCTGCGGGGAGATCGCTTCTCCCGGTGCTCCGAAGCGGGGCGGTGGGGCGGGAACCTCGCACCCCGCCGCCCGGCATCAGAACGATGCCCCGATGCCGGGCGGTGGGGCGGGAACCTCGCACCCCGCCGCCGGGCATCGGAACGAGGTCCTGGACCTCTTCTGAAGGCAGGCGGGGGCAAAAGTCTTTGCTCCCCCCGCCTGCCTTCCCGGGACAGCGGAGACTTCTCCGCTGCCCCGGGCGATCTTAAAATGCTGGCGGGCGGGAGCGAAGCGTTCGCTGCCGACCCCCAGCATTTTAAAATCTCCTCGGGGCAGCGGAGACTTCGCTCCCGCCCGCCAGCATTTTAAAATCGCCCCGGGACAGCAGGGGCTTTTAAAATGCTGGCGGTCGGCAGCAAAGCCCTCCTGTCCCCGGAGCTTGCGGGGCGGGAGGTGGGAAGAAGGGCTTTTCTTCCCACCGCCAGCCTTCAGAACAGCCTTCTGAAGGCTGGCAGTGGGAAGAAAAGCCCTTGTCCCCCCCCCCAGCCTTCAGAAGAGGTCGGGGGACAGACTGTCCCCGACCTGGTCTGAAGGCGGTTTCCCTAGGAACGCATTAATTGATTTTCAATGCATTCCTATGGGAAACCGTGCATCGCAAGACGAAAAACTCGCAAGACGAAGAGACTTGCGGAACGAATTAATTTCGTCTTGCGAGGCACCACTGTACTTTTTATATAGTCAATATAGGCACAGAGTTAAATTTTTTAACATTTTCTAATGGTGGTGTGCCTCAAGATTTTTTTCATGAAAGAAGTGTGCCTTTGCCCAAAAAAGGTTGGGAAACACTGATCTAGTCCAACCCCCTGCAATGCAGGAATCTCAACTCATGACAGAGGGCCATCCAACCTCTGCTAAAAAAAAAACCTGCAAGGAAGGAGAGTCCACAACCTCCTGAGGGAGACCATTTCACTGTCAAACAGCTCTTACCACCAGAAAGTTCTTCCTGATATTTAGTCGGAATCTCCTTATAGGTGATGTCTTAGGACCCTTCTCATTCTTCTGACTGTAAATGGTTTCAACTGTATTTTTAAAACAGTGTAACTATCGTAACAGCTTCCTATGCTCCTCAAGAACATCATTATTTCATTTATGTATCCAGTATTGTTATTCTCATTTATGAACCTCTCCCTATCAGGCATCTGAGAACGACTTACAATACTGTCCACACGTGATAAAACTACTACATATAGAAAAAGTTTAAACAATTGCACATAGCGAACGATTCAAATATAAAATGTATAGAACAACTGAGCAAGGTACTTCATCCTTTAGGGGGTGAGTTAAAAACATTTCAGAAGCTGTGCTTTCTAGCAATCCCATTGGCCCAGAGGCAGCCAGGGTGTGGGGAGTGAGCCAATGGCAAAGTGAAGAGAGCAGTGGCATCTTTCTGGGACTGCAGGGATGCTTAGCCCAAAGTCAAATAAAGGATGGGTGAGCAGAGGCCAGGGAGGAGGCAGAGGGGCAGGGAGGCATGGACAGCTGAGCAAGAGAAGGAGCCTCAGTGCTTTGGGTGTGTCTGAAACCCTGAAGTGCAGCATATGACATTTCAGCCCTCTCCTCCTCCTGGGTAAGCTGACTGGGAAGACAACGTCCACAAAGGGCCGTCAGTCATACTGGTTTCCATGCAGGAAATCATGACGCATGCATCTGCCCTCTGGTGTCGGAAAAGCAGGGACACCTTGAGTGAAGAAGGGTTTCCACTTCTTGGGAGCGCTGAGGTTAGTATTCTTATTACCTCGGGTGACCTGCTCCACCAACTTAAGGAACCTGAGCTGTCAAGAGGCACTAGCCAGGATCAGCAACTCCTGCTTTAGGGAGTTGTGGCTCTTGTAGGCCATGCTTGCTTCTCAGCTCCTACCAGGGCCCTGCTCTAACGCCGCGTTCATCATCCCTGCCATGTTTCGCTATATCTCAAGCAGGAAGGCCTTCCGTCAACCTCGATGCAGTGGGCACAGTGCTTGCCAGCTACTGCTGGCGATGCTAAAATAGCTGTACATAAGGCCGGCATGACATAAAACAATGAGAAGTATGGAACTGCCTTAGCTAGGTAGTTATCGTTGCTGTATTTGGCTTTGCGCTTGTTAAACATTGCTAAATTATGCTAAAGGAGCAATGCTTCCACCTAGCGGAAGCGATTGGTCCAACAGGCACGGAGCGGACGTTCAAAGGAGTTAAGGTGGGTTTTGTGTCATTTTCATCAGGCAGTGCTGTGGCTCTTTCAGAGAGGGGAAAGTCCTGTCTGCGGAAGCATCCGCTGGCAGACATCTAGAGTAGCCATATGTCCTCTTCTTCATGGGTAGGGCTGTCATAGTGATCCATAGTTAAATGTAGAAGTCGGCAAATGTGTCCTCTTTTTCTCTCTCTTCAAAATATGGCAGTGCTGGGGCAGCATTACACAGCCGAGACCCAGGGCACAGAGAATTTATCAGCTTATAATTTGCCATTAGGCAAAATTAATTGCTCTTGCGCTTCTAACTCCAGTCACTGTCATACACTGGAAAAGCAAACACTAAAAAGAAAGGAGTAGAGAGGTTGTAAGGGGAAAGATGCCAGATTATGAATCAGCAGGGCAATGGTGCAGCAAGAGAAGGGTTGCATTTTGACTGAGCCAGCATATTCTGGAGTTGACAATGTTTAGGGAGCCCCTCCGGCGGGGGTGGGGGTGGGGAGGGGGGAGGAGGAGAGAGCTCTGCTCACAGCTCTTGGCATTTATTTATTGTATGGAACGTGCTTTGCGTTTCCTCAAAGCAACTTTCTGACATCCTCATTGTGTAAGACGCTTAACTTAAACGGCATCAGTTGCAGAGCATTACATAACACCAAGACGTCCGTCAGCACGAGACTTTTCTCCTTGGGAAAGTCCGTCAACTGCTGCACACAACCCCCATTTATTTCAATTGAGTTTTGTGCCGCATTGGAATGAATGGATATTGTGCTCAGCAAGAATACCTGGGAAAACAGCACCTTGTGACTGCTGGCAACCTCACCGGCAAAGATGTTGCATTTTGGCTGCCTTTCTCATCCCAGGGGTCAGTGGCAGAGTTCCCCCCCTCCCCCACCCCCCAAAAGTAAGAAAGATTATTACAAAGGAAGATTGGGTTCTCAGTCTTTTAAAAACTCTTTAATCTTTGGACATATATTTTCTAAGTGTACCGTTGGCAATGATTTTACAATCATTTCTTCACATGAAATCAATCCATCATAGCTAGGGAGGAAAGTTAGCTATCGATTTTTCCTTATTGTGTCAACACACTTTGGCTAGGTTCCATCCGCCAATTAAAGCAGAGTATTTAGATTTAAGCTGATTTATCCCCATTGATTTCAATGGGATGGAACTGGATGAAAGCCAGTGCAACTGATTCGTGGGATCCTCAGGCTGCCTCGGGCACAAAACCCAACAGTGGCTCTTGCCAGAGAGGACAGCTGGCTACCGGCCACTTCCTAAGCTGGATTTGCAGTCCGAATGCAGAGAGGTGTTTGCAAGCAGCTGCTCTTTGCTAGTGAGAAATATGGCTCTTTTGGACTGGGGCTCAGCCAGGCATGTCCGGCTTTGGATAGGGAGCACAAGGTCAACAGACACGAATAGCAGCCGACTCTCCTTGCCCCTTAGCTAAGGCAGCACTGTAACAACTTGGCCTTGTTTCTTGTGTTATGAACTGGGGTGGGGAATAGGCTATATGCTAGAACACTCCTAACCCCTGGACCCAGCAAGTGTTAAAACATAAGCCAGGCTAGCTTCCTGTTGAGGCAATAGCATGGGCAATGGGCCATTATGGGGAACAAAGAAAAGGGGTTCTGTGCAAGTGGGTGGTGGGTACTTAGAAGGACAAAGGCAGAGTGGAGGGCAGAGAGTTGTAGTGATATGAACTAGAAGCAAGGCAGCAAGCTGGAAAGGGAGAGAAGCAGAGCAATGATTGATTTCTGCTGGATGCCAAGGCTGTGGCTATGAGGAAAAACAAGACCTTCTTGGGGTGTTGATGCTGGGAACCCCTCTATTACAGGCTCAGGTTGTATATGTGTGTAAATAAACCATATATCATAAAGACACCACAGTCTCTGCTGTGCCTCATTTCCAAAGGAAACACAAACCCTGAAAACTCTGGATCCTGCACCGCTCTGAGATTAGGGTGGCATGAAACACTGAGCTTCCAGAGATGTGTAGATCTTAAGCTGTTTCTCAGGACAGTTTGTTCAGTGTTTGGAGCCACGTGTGCAGAATGTCTGTGTTTTAGCGCATTAAGGAACCGACGCCAAGATGCTGTCTTGTAAGTTGGGGTGGAAGGGATGTAAGCTCAGCGGCAGAGCATCTGCCTGCATGCAAAAGGTCCTAGGTTCAATCCCTGGCATCTCCAGGCAGAGCTTGGAGAGCATCCCTGCCTGAAACCCTGGAGAGCTACAGCCAATCGGTGCAGACACTCCTGAGTTAGATGGACCCAATGGTCAGACTCTCAAAGGCAGACTCCTATTTCCTAAGTTTGGCAGCAGAGACGGGCTTTCAGAATAAATGCTGCTGCTGTTGCAGGGCATTTTAACCCAGTGGGTCCCTATTCTACTAAAATACCCAGTCTCTACTCAGGAGCCAGCCTCACCCAGGACTCTAAACTTTGCCTTTTCCTGTAGCAGGAAGCACAGGATGCATCTCCCAACCAGCCCAAGGAGGAAGGAAGCAGAAACCGGAGCCTTTGCAAGAAACTGCAGCCTTGAGTACAATAGGAGCATTAGCTGATTTATAAAGCTGGGAGAGGTAATGGTAGCAAGAGCATTTTGCAAACACGCTTGTGGCACACTTGTGTCCATCTATCTGCAAGAGCAGTGCCCACCTCCTGCTCCATGGCTGTGCAATGCCCAGAGCAAAAGACCAGAGAGATCTCTCTAGCACTGGGCCCAGAGACAGAATGCAGCAGAGTGGCTTCCTGTCCATCCCTTTTCCTGAGCCAGGGCAACTCAAGGGTCCTACTGGGGAGGTCACAGCTTCTTAAAATCCTCCAGAGCCATTCTAGCCGCATTGCGCCCCGCCGCTCCCATGACACCTCCTCCTGTGGAAGAAAAGGGAGATGTTGCAAGAATGGGGTGAGCAGCTTAACCAAGTCCACAGCCAGCAAGCCAAATGGTAGAACTCTTGTGGGTATTTGCCACTGGGAATCCTTGAACCCAGTTCACTCACCCCCTAGCAGGGCAGGAATGGGAAGGGACTAAAATTCCTCACAGCAAGAACCCAGAGAAGGGAGAGCACCTCCTTTTGTTCCCCTTCTGAGCTGTGTCGTAAGAAAGCCTTCAAACAACCTAAGAATGTCCCACAGAGAAGATTCACAATCCAGTCTCCAGTCAGCGTTAGCCAGGAGGGAGGAGGCAGAAGACAAGGCAGGGAATGTCTCCATTTATCCTTCCAGACACCAAAAGCTCTACCTATCCCAGGCAGACCCAATGTGTGCTTGCATTTGATGTACATGTTGAATTTTGCTTGTTTTGTTTTAAACAGAAGCTATGGGGGAGAGGTTCAGTGGTGTTGACCCTTTCTCCTGTCACAGTGAAAAACCCCTTCTCCTTGAGGTGAAGTAAAGAGAGGAGAGGAGGGGTTTCATTGGGATTTGCAGCACAGGGGAAAAGGTCAGCACACACAAGTGTCTGCCCTTTACAGCAGGAGTGGGAAACCTCTATAAGCCCAACCTTCTGAGGAGGGTCACATTCCAAGAGTGGGCGGGGCAAAAAGATGAAGTGGGCGGGGCAAAAGGCAAAACTGAAATGTAAAGAAATACAGTGGTACCTCAGGTTAAGTACTTAATTCGTTCCAGAGGTCCGTACTTAACCTGAAACTGTTCTTAACCTGAAGCACCACTTTAGCTAATGGGGCCTCCTGCTGCTGCCGCGCTGCCGCAGCCCGATTTCTGTTCTCATCCTGAAGCAAAGTTCTTAACCTGAAGCACTATTTCTGGGTTAGCGGAGTCTGTAACCTGAAGCGTATGTAACCTGAAGTGTATATAACCTGAGGTACCACTGTACATTGAAAATTAAACAAGCAGGCTTACATACACAGGCAGGATCTTTAAGAGTAAAAAAACCTCATCATTTCCACCCACTCCAGGGTGGGGCACCCATGGAGTGCCCTCTCTCTCTTTTCCTTGGGCAAAGAAGGTCTTCTGCTCCTCTCCCCAGAGGCACAGCCTGAGACCCAGCTCTAGAGACACCTTAGAGGAGCATGGCAAACTCACCCCACAGCAATGCTGCATCCAGAGGGCTTTTAGGAAAATGTGGACCTTGAACGCAACCAGACGCCCCACCCTCCTCCCTGGTCCTCTCTAGCCACCCCCTTCCCACCGAGGCCAGGCTCTCTCCCTCGTTGTTGCAGCAGCACAGACACGCCTCATCTGGCCTTGCGCTGCCCCTGCCAGATACGTACCGGGATGGGCGCCACTTCCACAGAGGTAGAGGCCTTCCACTGGAGATCGGTAGCTGGAATAGGAAGGCACTGGCCGGGCAAAATACAGCTGGTCCAGAGACATCGCTCCATGGAATATGTTCTGAAAACCAGAGGCAGCATCAGACAAGGTAGCTGGGAAGCAGCAGTGCTCTGTCTCTGCTTCCCAGTACAAAGGGAGTCAAGAAGTGGAGGCTGGGAGATGGGAGGCAGCTGGGGCAGACGTCTAAGCCATCTGCAACATCTAAGCCATATCAGTCAATTTGGGGAGGTTGCCCTGGAAGGGCATGGCAAGGCGAAGCTGGGCAGGAGAGTCTATGGGCAGAGATTCTCAGCCAATACATACCCCACCAGGTAGGCCAAAGATCCGCTCAAGGTCTGGAGGCGTCAGGACATCCCTGCCGACGACAGAGGCCTTGAACCCAGGGGCATAGGCTTCAACACAATCAAAGACTACAAGGGGAAGAGATGCCACATGGGAAAGACTGAGAGTTGCCTCAAGGAAGGCTAGGTATTAGTCACCCAGGATCCACCCCCACCCCCTACCCCCAAAAAACCTGGTTTTCTGACAGGGATTCAACTGGAATTTCAGCACCCAAGAGTCACTAAGACTAGACAATCACACTTAGGCACCATGGAGAAATCCCTTCTCAGCTGACCCTGGGCATTGGTCTCCAGCCACCCCTGAGACTCATGGAAGACCAGTGGGCAACATCTAGACCAAGAGAAGATTGTGCTACACAGTTTTAAGCAGGAGAGTTCTCTCCCCAAAGAGAAGGGGTGCGAAGCATAGGGTAGAAGGGTGTGCAAATGGGAGACATGGCCCAATGGAGTAAGGTTTGGGGTGGTGGTAAGCCTTCCCAAGACTGGAAAATTCTCCCCTTTCTTGAGAGGCAGCGCAAAACCACCATTGCTCCTGCCAGTCCTTTGTGCAATGGCTGTACCTCGGTCAGCATAGTCCTCACGCTCACGGTCGTCCCATTGCTTCCCTCCGGCCAGTGTGTAGGGGGTGTACTGAGTGAAGAGAGAGACCACGTGGCAGCCCGACGGAGCCAGTGTGGGGTCCAGGGCAGACGGGATGCACAGTTCAATCATGGGCCTGGAACGGCAGAGAGAGGCCAAGCAGGAACCCTTGGGGTCAAGTCCAGAAGAACCTCAGTGCAGCTGCTTCAGCCCTACTGAACTTTCCATCTAGCACCAGCAAGGCTTCAAGCAGTGACTCTATTCTGGCTGTAGACCTGCAGGTATCACGTAATGGAGGGCTGGGGAACTTGTGGATGTTGCTGGACTCTCCCACCAACCCTGACAACTGGCCATGCTGGCTGGAGATGATGGGAGTTGGAGTCTAGCAATTTCTGGAAGGCCACCATCACTGTTGCAGTAGAAGGGGATGTAAGGGGGACACATATTTAGAAGAGAAGATGGCCACAAGCCTGGAAATAACTCATTGAAAAGACCCGTAGTATGTACAGCGATAACAATGCAGGACAATGCTGCATACTTCCTACTTGCTTGGTGCTGATCTTGCAAAAATAAAAAAAGTTTTTGAGCAACGGTTATTCCCATAAACTAATACAGTAAACGTTGAGGAGGGAATCATGTACTGTATTTGTGACAGATGTGGCCCAGGGCTTGGGAGTGTTGAACCTGAAAGATGCAGCTTTCCATTTTCCAGCTTCACCTAACATGTTGTTAAGAACACGATGCTTAAAGCCCAAGGATGCAATTCTATGCACATATGTCTAGGAGTAAGTAAAATTAAGCTCAGTGGAACTGAGCATGCACGCATGTTTTTTTGTTTTCTGTACAATGGACACTATAAGAGGTTGAACTCCAAGGTGAACAGCAAGAGGGAATGTCATTTATATTCTGCTCTTAAAGGGCTGAACAAATGATAATAAGCAGAGCGACACAGGCTGGTGGTGCAGACACCTAGCAGAGCCTTTTGCTGTTTCAGGGAGTTTGCAATGGAAGGCAGAGCAGAACGGTTGCCAAAAGCCGGCGATGCAGGAGGTGCATCTAAATGAAAGTGTCTGCCCTGCACTCGTCCCTGGGGCAGATGGCTGGCAGACACTCCAGCGTCTAAAACAGCTAATTGTGTGTGTAGGAAACAGTGCTTCCCAAAGCACACACAGGATTATAAATATGCTGGAGAAGAACTTGACAATATCCATTTGTTTTTCGAGAAGAGGAGTTTTATCTCATTAGACCAGGATCGTATCATGGTAAGGTCTTGAGACTAGGAACTATGCCAAAACGAGGCTGCTGTGAGCAATGTGGGTTTCTGCAGCGGTCAGCTCTCCTCTGCAATTTTTACATTTTCTCTCCCTTCTTACAGCTGATCTCCACTTGGGCTTTGGCAACAAGGAGGGAGACAAATCTGGGCTCTTCTGATTCGCAAACAAGTGTAGTGTTAGGAAACAGGACATGAGGCCCTGGGTCACTCAGGGGACTTGCCTGGCAGGGCTTTACAGATGCAAGAAAGCAGCAACCAGGGTCCACTCACAGTTGTTTGACACGAGACAAGAGCCCCTTGTAACTCAGTTTTAAGCACACTCTTTCCCTTAGCTGTTCTTGTTCCTTGGCTAGGATGGGGCCAATTTTAGCTAAAGGATTCCCCATCCTGCCCACCTGTGCCAGTCAGTCCTTGCGGGGATTAGCATTCCCACCCATACCTGCTTGACGGTCTCCCCTGGCAGGCGTCCTCAAAGGCCTGGTGCAAGAGCTGTATGTCTTCACAGTTGAGGTGGATGGAGCACTGGTGATGGGGCAAGGGGCAGCCATCCCTGGCATTGGGGGCCGCTCGGAAATCAGGCAACCGATCCACAGCCACTGTGGAACAGAAGGAACGGAGGGTGAGGCTGGACAGGGGTGATGTCAGGGAAGGGGCAAAGGGGGCCCAAGGCCCAAGTCTTTTGTGCTAAGCCCCACAACTCCCACCTCTTCCCCCTCGTTTTCAATACTTGGACTACTGCAATGCGCTCTGCGTGGGGCTACCTTTGAAGGTGACCTGGAAACTACAATTAATCCAGAATATGGCAGCTAGATTAGTGACTGGGAGTGGCCGCCGAGACCACATAACACCGGACTTGAAAGACCTACAATGGCTCCCAGGATATTTCCGAGCACAATGCAAAGTGTTGGTGCTGACCTTCAAAGCCCTAAACGGTCTTGGCCCAGTATACCTGAAGGAGTGTCTCCAACCCCATCGTTCAGCCTGGACACTGAGGTCCAGCTCTGAGGGCCTTCTGGGGGTTCCCTCACTGCGAGAAGTGAGGTTACAGGGAACCAGGCAAAGGGCCTTCTCGGTAGTGGCACCTGTCCCTGTGGAACACTCCCCCCAGATGTCAAGGAAATAAACAACTATCTGACTTTTAAAAGACATCTGAAAGCAGCCCTGTTTAGGGAAGTTTTTAATGTTTGATCTTTTATCGTGTTTTTAATATTCTGTTGGGAGCTGTCCAGAGTGGCTGGGGAAACCCAGCCAGATGGGCGGGGTATAAATAATAAATTATTATTATTATTACTACTTTGCTTTCAGGCCACCTGGGACTCTGCGAGGTGCAGTGCCAGTGAGACCCCAGCCACTCATGATCTTCATTCCGGCTGGGCAAAAACAAGAAGGATGTAAAGTCAGGCTGAGGGTGTGTTCTGGGAAGAGTCCCAAGGACACTTGAGGGCCTGCGATTCCCCACCCCTGCTCTGCCTCCATGCGCATTTGTGTGGTGGACCTGCTTCCAAGTTCTAAAAGCAATGTCCCCATTTCCAAATAAAGCACAAACACCCTCTGTGGTGTCAGAGTGACTTGTCTTTTGGTGCAAGAGGGAGGTGCACTTTTTAGCACATTGCACCTAATTTATTAGAGTGCGTCCGGGTGCAGCTGCATGAACTCATTGTTATTTTATAGCCAAGTGATATTTGGATTTATTAACAGCGTCTTCAGGAAAGCGGGAAAGAGCAGGCAGGCCAGTCATCTGTGAGAAGGGGAGCATCCAGTCCCTCCGTCCTGGCTGGATACATGTCCCTCTGCCACCAACACACTATCAGCAAGGAAACAGCAGGGGAGGGGGCGGGGAAGGAAAAAATGGCTACCAACCACTTATTTGATTATTAAGAGGTTTTAGGAGAAAGCTGCATTCATGGGGAGGGGAGAGCAGGGTGAACCCAGGGCTCTTACGAAAGAGAAAATAGGAGCCCTGGAGTCTTGCTTCCCCAATTCTTCCCTCTGTTCTCCCAGCAGCCAGCCTGGGCATTTTATTGGGAAGACATAGACCACATCATTATGTTTCCAGCCACCACTACCCTTCTTGCCCTTGGAAGCCTTGCAAGTGCTGCGGAGGGGGGCCCCTGAGCAATGACAGGGAAAGGGGTGTTTCTAGGACTAAGGTGAAACTGATGCCCCCTTGTTATGTTTGCTATTGAATGTTGCATGTTGTTTAAGCAATCTTGTTATATTTATTGTATCGAAACACATTTTTTAAAAAATGTTACTACATTTGCTCTTGTTTTGCTGTTGTGATGAAACTGTTTTTGTATGCTTGAAATGCATTCCTGTTTTCTTTGTTATTATCCGCTTTGAGCATGATTTGGGGGGGGGCAGGTGGAGGGAAGAGACATACAAATGAATGAACCTGCTCCTTGAAACCTTCTTGAAAAACCACCCATTAGTAGTGTTACTGCTCCCTCTGCTGGCCACACACGGTGCTGCTAGCCTCCCTTGGGCAAGACATTGAAAGACTTCCGCTCTCTTCCACGTGTAAATGCTCACGTTCTTCATCCACAGGGTGACTCTTCTCCTGCCTGCTGTTTGCAGGACCGTGGAAGTGCAGAACCTTTGCATGTAAGCATCTGGCCTATTTTGCCTCCATGCAATACTCACCATTGATCTTGGTGACTGGAGAGCGTGAGTCAAATTGGGAGATTCTCTGGACAAATTCTGGGGGCAGCTGCTCCTAGAGAGAAGAGCCAGACACAGAATGAGCTCCTGGGATATAGTTTGGTATCTGGAAGAAAACTGGAGGTTGAACTACACGCACGCGCTCTCTCTCTCTCTCTCTCTCTCTCTCTCTCTCACACACACACACACACACACACTTTAATACAGTGGTGCCCCACAAGACGAATGCCTCGCAAGATGAAAAACCCGCTAGACGAAAGGGTTTTCCTTTTTTCGATGCGCTTCGCAAGACGAATTTCCCTATGGGCTTGCTTCGCAAGACGAAAACATCTTGCGAGTCTTGCGATTTTTTCCACTCCCCCCCCCTTTTTCTAAGCCGCTAATAGCCTTTTAGCCGCTAAGCCGCTAAGCCTTTAATAGTCGCTAAACCGCTAATAGCGCTAATCCGCTAAGCCGCTAATAGGGTTGCTTCGCAAGACGAAAAAACGGCTAGACGAAGAGACTCGCGGAACGGATTATTTTCGTCTTGCGAGGCACCACTGTAGCTGGTAATCACAGTCCACCCCAAGGGATGTTGCTGTCCTAGCATGCTGGGCAACCAGTTCATTGCCTCTGATTCCAATGCTAATGCTAATGCTAATAATAAATAGTACATTTCAACATTTCACACACATACCGTATTTTTCGCACGATTGGACGCACCGGACCATAGGACGCACCTAGTTTTTTGGGGGGAAATAAAGGAAAAAATTTTTCCCTTTATTTCCCCCCCAAAAGCAGGTCAGGGAAACCGAACCAGGTCGAGGAACAGCGGGATAGTGGCGCTGCGCCTCCCTGCTGTCCCCCGAGCTTGTGGGGCTGGCTGATGTCTGCCTGGCGCGCGGGGCGCTCTGCTTCAGGGCGCCCCACCCGCCAGGCAGCAGGCTGCTATCCGCAGCGTGGGGAGCCTTGTGGGGAACTCCTGCAAGCCTCCCCACGCTGCGGATGTGTTCCCGAAGCACCTGGAGCTCTGCTTTCAGGGCGCCCGACGCTCCGGGAAGCAGGCTGCTATCTGCAGCCTAGACACGGCTAGCAGAGCGCTAATCCCGAAGCTTGGGGCGTGCGGAGCTCAGCGCGCCCCAAGCTTCTGGGCGCCGGCAAGGTCTCCGCTAGCCTAGCGGAGACCTTGCCGGCGCCCAGAAGCTTGGGGCGCGCTGAGCTCTGCACGCCCCAAGCTTCGGGATTAGCGCAGCGGTCCGCTAGCCCTGGGAGAGCCGCGCGACGTCGCGGGGCTCTCCCAGGGCTAGCGGAGACCTTGCCGGCACCCAGAAGCTTGGGGCGCGCTGAGCTCTGCACGCCCCAAGCTTCGGGATTAGCGCAGCGCTTCGCTAGCCCTGGGAGAGCCGTGCGACGTCGCGGGGCTCTCCCAGGGCTAGCGAGACCTTGCCGGCACCCAGAAGCTTGGGGCGCGCTGAGCTCTGCACGCCCCAAGCTTCGGGATTAGCGCAGTGGTCCGCTAGCCCTGGGAGAGCCGCGCGACGTCGCGGGGCTCTCCCAGGGCTAGCGGAGACCTTGCCGGCACCCAGAAGCTTGGGGCGCGCTGAGCTCTGCACGCCCCAAGCTTCGGGATTAGTGCAGTGCTTCGCTAGCCCTGGGAGAGCCGCGACGTCGCGGGGCTCTCCCAGGGCTAGCGAGACCTTGCCGGCACCCAGAAGCTTGGGGCGCGCTGAGCTCCGCATGCCCCAAGCTTCGGGATTAGCGCAGTGGTCCGCTAGCCCTGGGATAGCCGCGCGACGTCGCGGGGCTCTCCCAGGGCTAGCGGAGACCCTGCTTGCACCCAGAAGCTTGGGGCGCGCTGCGCTCCGCACGCCCCAAGCTTTGGGATTAATGCTGCGCTCCGCTAGCGGTGGGAGAGCTGGGTCTCCCACGGCTAGCGGATAGCTTCCTGAAGCCTGGAGAGCGAGAGGGGTCGGTGCGCACCGACCCCTCTCACTCTCCAGGCTTCAGCGAAAGCCTGCATTCGCTCCATAGGACGCACACACATTTTCCCTTGCTTTTTAGGAGGGAAAAAGTGCGTCCTATGGTGCGAATAATACGGTACATCATATAATATTTTAATTCATTTTTCTATTTTACAATTTAAAGTACTGATTTTTACATCCTTAAGATATCAATGACTTCCCTTCTTCTCTTTCTTTCCATGATTCATTTTGCATATCATAAATCCCTGCATATTTTACAAAAACTATACCATTCAGTATTCCATTACTACATCCATCAAAACTTATCTACACTGTTGAATTTATCTTAATGCTGCCAGCGTTTTCAGCTGTAGACAGTTATTTTCCATATATTAAATAAACACTTTCCAATCTTCTCTAAACGTATGTTATTCTTGTTCTCCTATTCCATATGTTAAGTCTGCAAGCTGCACATATTCTGTCAATTTAAGTTGCCCTTCTTCTTTGGTTGGGACCTTGCTCATTTTCCATTTTGGGGCTAACAAAACATGGGCCGCAGTAGTGGCATACATAAATAACCTTTTTTGACACCTGGGAATTTCAGTCTGAATTATCCCCAAACAGAAAAGATACTGGGGTTTTTTTTAGAAAGTACTTTTGAACATTTTTTCCCAATTCATTACTTATCATTTTCCAATACTTTTTTACCCTTTTACAAGTCCACCAATAATAATAATACATTTCTTGTACCCCACCCATCTGACTGGGTTACCCCAGCCACTATGGGCAGCTGCCAATGAAGTATAAAGGAACACATCAAAACATCAAAAGCTAATAATAATAATCTACCTATGAAGGCAGCACTCCCAGACAGTACCTCCCCACCCCCACCCCAAACACAGCAGACCAGAGAGCCCTGAAGTGTTTTTAAGGTAGGGTGGCTCAAAGTGGTCCAATATTAGAGTAAACATTAAATTTGAGAGGGTTTCCAGCTGTACTGAAAATGCATAGTTCATTGATATTATGGAAGAGTAGGAGAAACCAGAAGCACACTGTTTGGGGCTCAGCTTCTTCACTCTCATCCTCAACTCTCCCTCCCTCTCTCTCCATGCTTTCAGTCTCTGGTCAGCTCAGTTCCTCCTTTCACAGCAACACTCTGGTTTGCAGGTACAGAAAGCAAGACAGTGCAACTGGCTACTGAGTTGTAGAAACTGGGCTTTCACAGTTAGCCTGGACCAGAACAGCAGGATATTTTGCTCGATCATTCCTAGGTGAGGGCTCAGCCTTAAAGGGGGTGCCTCTGCTCCCCACTCTTCTAGGGTATCTGTAATAAACTGGTATTGTCCCTCAAGGACCAGAGGGCAAATAGACCTACCTTACATCCTTTGCAAGCTCTGGGCATCCTGCTGCTTGAGAGGAAAAAGCAAGGGTAGTGGAAAAGTCTGGAGAATCCCCCCAAGGCTTCCCATGCTATGCCAAGGAGGACGACTCACCTGAGGAGTCAATTCCAGAAAGGTGAGCTGCGGAGATGCATTCGACAGGACCAGGCGGCTCTTCACTTCTGTTCCGTCCTGGAGGCAAACACCTTGCGCCTTCCCATCTGAGCTCAGAAGAATCTGGGCAACAGCCTGCAGGGTTGAGAAGAGGGAGAAGTAACCGAGAGTATAAATGCATCCGTGGAGAAAGCTAATTCTCACCTGCCCCATATCAACAAGATACCAGCAAGGGTAGGAAGGACCCCGGCTTCAGCTTCTCATCCTCCCCACCAAAATCTCCAGGGATGCCAACATCACTGTCATTTTGGAGGGTGTCATTTTGCCACTGTCTTCTGCTGCATGCCAAACGTGGCATCCCATTGGGACCAAGCGATTGCATTCACTGCTCCAGGAAAATCACTAGGGCGTTTTGTGGACCAGAGTCTGCTGAAGCACAATTCACAGAGAGGTTCGCCTCTATCCATTTGGGTCTGAATAGAGACAATGATTTCCTGTCCCGCTGCAGACGTTAATTAACTCAGCTTTGCCAAGTTTTGTCACCTCTCACTGCAGTTGCAAACAGGCACTGCACTGACTCTGTGTGCATTCTGGCTATAATTGCATTGCTTCTGCCTGCACTTTTTCTGCTTTTAATTTCCCTCTGGCCTCGCTGCTTTCAAGGCTCTCGCCTTCATTTGTAAATATGTATGTCGCTGCGACTGAGGATTAGGCTTTGTGCATCTGATAAAGTGGACTCTGGTCCAAAAAAGCCTTTGCCAGACTTGTGGCATCTTTAAGGTGCCACAAAACTCTAGGTTGTTTTTGCTGCCACGCAGACGAACACAGCTACCCCTCTGGGAATTGTGCCAGGATAACTTCTTTCCCCTGTGCCATCCCATTATGTCAGTATCCCTCGCACTGCACTGCTTGCCCTTCACTGGATCCACCCACCTTCTTCGTGAAGATCTCAGCCCCGAGTGCAGTTGCAGCATTGGCCAGGGCCTGGGATAGCGCTCCCATGCCCCCAGCCACATAGCCCCAGGCCCCCTGGCGCCCCTCCAGCTCACCCATCACATGGTGCAGCAGCACATACCTATGAGAAAGACCAAGAGTTAGGGGCTGCCACAGGCAGGGCTCCGAGCTCCCAGAGCATGGCAAAAGACGCAGCATCTCCCCGGCCGAAGCTGGCCAGGAGTGCTTGACAGGCTTGGCGCCGTCTCAGCTTTCTTTTCCTCCTGCTTGCATTCCTCTAAGCAGGGCTCTGTTACAATGTGCGGCACTTTCCCCTTCGTGCACGTTGTTATCATTAATGGCTTTATTTATTACAATATTTAATGCCCTACATTTTCAGTCCCGAAGGACCGACAAAAAAATTAAAAGCCTGGGGCGGAATTCAAAGCAGCGCTAAGGAGATCGCTCTGTCGGTGCAAGCATTTCTGCTTGTCTGATGGAACAATCTCCTCTCTCCTCCCAGAGAGGGGGTGGTTCTCCTGATCAGCCAGAGCTGATGGGAAGGTGGGGGAGCAGGGAACAAACATAAGGTAAGAGTGCAAGAAGCACCTGAAGAAGAAGAAGAGTTTGGATTGGATACCCCGCTTTATCACTACCCAAAGGAGTCTCCTTTCCCTTCCTCCCCCACAACAAACACTCTGTGAGGTGAGTGGGGCTGAGAGACTTCAGAGAAGTGTGACTAGCCCAAGGTCACCCAGCAGCTGCATGTGGAGGAGCAGGGAAGCGAACCCAGTTCACCAGATTACGAGACTACTGCTCTTAACCACTACACCACACTGGCTCTCTGCTAGGCTAGACCAGACCACTGGCCCATCTAGTCCAGCATCCCCAATGCCTTTGGGAATCCTACAAGCAGGACCTGGGCACAACAGCACTGGGAAGGTGGGGAGTCCCATTGTGCTGCCATCTGCTAGTGCAACTGGTTAGTTGAACCTGGCCCACGAAGTTCTTAAGTATGGAATAACTCATCTCTGCTGGTGTTGAGCACTGCCCATCTGCAGAACTCTGGTGGCTCTGGTGGACAAGGGATGGGGAACCTGAGGCTCTTCAGATGTGGCTGGACCACAGCTCCCTTCATCCCCGACCTCTGACCACACCAGCTGGAACTGATGGGAGCTGGAGTCCAACAACATCTGGAGAGCCCCAGGTTCCCCACTTCTGCTCTGGGTATTCACATAAGCAACAGAGTTTGGGGCCAAACCTGAAATGGGGAGTGGGAAGGGTGTGCACAGAGGCAGGATGGGCAAAAACCAAAGGCTGTGTGCACCTGAACAGAACCTTACCCACTGCCTGGTGTGTGGGGACCAGCCATGGCACCTATCACTGCATCTGTTGCCAGTGTTGCTTTCAGGGGCTCTGACTCAAACCACAAATCCAAGATCTGCAACAAGGTGAAAGAGGAACAGGCTCAGTATGGAATGTCTAAAGGAACCTGCCGGTTGATTATAGAAGGAGCAGAAACCATTCTAATGAGCAGGAGGGATTCTGACTGGGTCATGCAGTGGTTTTTACCTTGGAAATGGGGGCCGTCAGAACCTGATAATATTGCGGAAGCTGTTTCCCCAGAGTAAAGCCTGGCAAAAAAGAAAACAGGGGTCCAGTGTAGTTCAAATACAGAGCCAGAGGTGAAAGAGCATCCCTGAACCTCTGTCAGTCCCTAACGAAAGGTTTAACCAGGTGAGCATTGCTTCTCCCGCTGGTCAGGCAAGTATCTGAGCCAAGTCAAAGAATGAGCCTTGCTGGAACAAACAAATGGTCTATCAAATTCAGCATCACCTTTGTCACAGTGGACAACCAGATGTCTCTGAGAAGCCCTCACCCACGGTAACAGTAGCCCTCTGCCACTATTGCCCCTCCAAGCACACTGCCTGGGGGGTTGTTCCGGTTGTAAACAACCTGTGTTTAGAGCAAAAAGGGCTGATAGAGAGATAAATGAAGGGTAGGGTTGAGAAACCTGCTAAACTTCAGACATCATTGAACTCTAATTCCCATCAGGCCCAGGCACCATGACCAATGGGCAGGGATTATGGGCCCACAGGTTGCCCCATCACCAGCATAGAGTAACACATATAGAGGTTCTGACACACCATCAACATCTGGGGTCTCCAATGTGGCACTCATGAGCACCACAGGAGCTACAGACACCCCCTGATCCCCGTGAATCTCCCTGCCCCTCCCAATTTTATTTTTTTTAACAACTTTCATCGGCTGTTTATTTAGGATACCCTTTTGAGGGGGGTGGGGCCTGCTGTTTTGGCTCGTATTTAGTTGTTTTACTTGTTTGGGGAGTGCAATTTTTCCATTTGTTTGAAGGGGAAGGCTGCGCATTGCCAATTTCTCTTTTGTGAAATGGGTATTTTGTGGTGCCCATAACAGTTCCCTAGATTTCCAAATGTGTGTCTGAGACCAACAAGGTTAGCTACCCCAATTTAAGTAGTTAGGTCAGAGGTTCAGTCGCACAAACATACACACACAAAATGGCCCATGAGGGGAAATCCAGTGGGTACACATTCTTGATTTAAGGCCACCCTGAGCCCAAGAATGTTGATCTAGCCCCTCCATCCTTTACCTGCACGGATCAGGGCCCGTAAGCCTCGTAAGGCTCTGAACTTCTGAAGAAGGGAGCCCTGGCTGAAACCAGCCACATCCAAAGGGCAGGTATCAAGAAGAGGGTCTATGGCTGACACCAAGCGGTTCATGAACGCCTCATACTTGGGAAAGGCCTACAAAGGAAAAGGAAAACTGCTGGGTGCTGTTCTATCAGCCATGTCAAGCAGAGATTCGCCCAAGACAACAACTTCCATTTGCCAAGGGAATGTTTTCTCACAGGCCAGTCGGGTTTGGGGCCCAGTCAGTCCCTGAAGGTCTTTGGGCCCAGTTTCCTGTGCCCCGTGGCCCTGACTCATTCAACACTTTTGCCCAGGCCGATGCTACCATTAGGCAGAATGAGGAAGCTACCTAAGGCAGCTGATTTTAGCTGTCATGAAAGCAAATTATTTACTTTAATATTCAGAAGCAACTCACCAAGTGGGGTGGAGATGCTAGAATAGTCTCCCGGCAGGTGGGTTACAAGAAGTTGCAGGGAGGATGGTGCAAACACAATGGCGAAGCCAATCCAACACTCCTGCCAGTGTGTTTGCAACGTGCTGAGTTCCCTGCTGCCTCCCCGCTCCCCATCTTGGTAAGCGACAGCAACTCACCTGCTGGGAAGCTAGCACATTGATTTTGGCCCACCCAGCAAGCCGCTTCTATGATTATTACTATTGTATTTTTTACTGCCAAAGGGATGCTTTGGGCAATTTCCCCGCAGGGGCCAAAATTACTTGGCTGGGCAGGAGGCTGTGTTTGACCATTCCCCCCTCCAGCAACAAAATGTCTTGGGCTGGGCCTGCTTCTCGCCCTTCCATACCTGAAGAAGTTTTCCCCACAATACCTGGGCATCCTTTACAGAGAACTGAGCAATCTGGCTCTGTGTGTCAGCCATGTTGGTCCCCAGCAGCAGTGAGCGGGGGGCTTTTCCGGCCCGAGCATCCTCCAGCAGCGGTGTGTAAGAATAAGGGTCACGCGGAAGCACTTTTAAACCATGTCTCTGGAAGACAGAAGGCAGCATGGGCTCTAGGCCTGGACACAGAACATGCTGAATTATCACACACATGAGGTGAGGCAGATACAGATATAAACCGCTGGGTCCTTGGATTTTAGGAGAGGCTTCACTGTCACAGGCCCACGGGCCTCAACCAAGACCAAGTTGTGAACACTGGCCTTAGAATTTGTGCCCATTGGTCATATCATTCAGAATTTTATGCACTGTGTCATCAGCCAATTAAGGCTGCAGTCCCACATGCACCTACCTAACTAGAAGCGAGCCCTGAATGTAGTGGGACTTGCTTCTGAACAAACATGGATAGGCTTGTACCACATGTCATCTCTCAAACTAAATGAATAAAAACCTCACCTTCTCAGCCTAAACCTAGTAACTGACAGCCTTTAGATTATAAGTATTTATCTACCTCAATGACAAATGGGATACCAAGACTGAGGGATGGAGAATGACTATTTCAGACTTTACAACTTGGATGGCAGGGGTACTCCAGTCAGAATGTGTAGGAACCTGGTAGCTTAGTCATCCAAGCATATTAATTTATTAAAAGATGTAAGAGACAACGCCGACCAAAGAAGAATGGCAAACCAAGTTGACGGACTATGCCGAAATGGCAAAATTAACTGGGAAGCTCAGAAATCAAGAAGAAAAGAACTTTAAAAAAGAATGGGAAAAGTTTATAATTTATTTACAAGACCACTGTAAGCAAGTTAAAACATTAGCAGGATTTTAATCACACTTGTAAAGTAACAGAAAGGATGGATAATTTAGAAGGAATTTTTTTTTTGATAAATACTGATATGCAGTTGTAAATATGATCATTATGATCCATGGAGGGGATGGGGGGAAGTCAGGAGGTTCAGAGTAATCTCAATATTTGGATTTGGAATTGTTTCTGATGTTTTTTGTTTATACTTTAAAAAAATTATTTTAAAAATTATTTTAAAAAAATATTAAAAGATGTGTGTACCACTATATCATTAAAATATCAAAGTGGTTTGCCACAGTATTGATATATAACAACACGTACAAAATTTAAAACCAGAGATCATCAAATTAATTATTATGGAAAGATGTATTTTTAATTTTCTACATAAGCCTAGTAGAATACAGTAATTTTCAGTATGAGTTTAGAGGCCTCTGGCATAGGATTCTACAGGGCTGGGCCTATGCAGAGGCGTAGGAAGGTCAGGTGGTACCCAGTGCAGAAAATTTCTTTCCCCTCCCCCCATTGTGTTGTTTTGTTTTTGCCTGCAAAAACGGTTTTACGTTATTTCGTATTTTCTTACAAAGGAATGTGGATTCTGGGCCTCTGATAACAAGTAGGCGACTATGGACAGATACTTAAATCTACAGGATGGATTGTGTTTTTGCTTGTGTTGTTTTATTTATATTTATTGTTTATTTATTTCATAAAATTTATTTTTAAAAACCTGCAAAGTAGTTGACCAAAACAAAAAACAAAAAAACACCACAGCAGTAAAATCAAGAAAAATTGGCTGCGTGCAAGGGGGCGAGGCGAAGGCAAGGCAAGGCCTAATATACTCAGCCTAGTCTCATTTTCTTCACATAGGCCGACTTTCCAGGACCCGGGAAGTCCAGCGGAGGGTAGGGCAGTAGGGTGGCTCCAGTGAATTGAAATTTCAGCCTTCACGACATAGGAAAATGGCCAAGTAAACAGCTATTTTTGTGGAGGAGGGTAGGGTCAAGACATTAACTGATATGCATTAAATTTTATGTATATAATCCCTAGTGTAGTAAGATAAGACCTTTGGAGCAGGCATTTTTTTAAAAAAGTTTTTTTTGAACCACCCTAGTAGGGCAGTATTTATTCCTTGATAATTTGTTACTCCCCTCCATGATGGCACCTGGGGCGCCCCCCCCCTTTCCTACGCCCCTGGGCCTATGGTAGAACTATGACTGACTTCCTGGATTAAAATTGCTGGCTAAAGATTAAAAAGGGGGGGGAGCAGAGTGAAAAGACACTGCCCTGGTCTTTGTTACATCGTAACTTTGGATAATTGGGAAGATACAAGGTCTGTTCAGCAAATCAGAACTTTTTATTTTTGGAAGGAAGGGAAGAGAATTTGGCAGGGGTTTAGTTTCAGGGGTGTCCCAAAAATGACAAGCAAAAATGGCCAGAAACCATGCAGGAACCCAGCAATTCCCACTGTCATTGCTCACCCTGCCCCACCAGCACAAGCAAACAGCCCATACCTTTAACTCCAGTTCTGAGTAAATCTGGGGTCTCAACAGACTGAGCAGGTAGGAGGCTCTGGAGAAGCGAAACCCTGTAGAACAGGACATGACAGGTGCACTGAGGAGCAGCGATGGGATGCTGCCTGGAGAAGCTGGAGGGCAGCACCCGGGAAGCACAGCTCTTACCTGGGATAATCTCCTCGGTGACTGCTGCACCTCCCACGAGGTGTCTTCTCTCCAGCACAGCTGTCTTCAAACCACCTTTCTGCAGGTAGGCAGCCTGAAGATGCAAGGAGCATCCCCTTAGCCATGAAGAAGTCCCAGCTGCTTACCCCGTGCCTTTTGCTGAACTTGACAGTCACCAGGCAAGAAGATGGTCTTCCCCAGATGACAAGCCGGGTAGGGACCAGCAGCCCCCTCCCTCCGAGCCAATCTCTTCCCAGAGGGCCAAAAGGCCTGACGCCATGTCCCCTCAGGAGTTCTCAGTACTCACAGCAACCAGTCCATTGTGTCCTGCAAAGAGACAAGATGAGCAGCTTTGATTTGGGCCACCTCCTCCTCCCACAATTTACTTGGCCACAATGCACTTCTTCTTTTTTTAAAGGCTTCTTTAAAGTTGTTCTTTTCCAAAACTGTGTCCCACAGTCTGAAGTGAAGCATGTTTACTCAGAAGTCAACCCTGCTGAGTTCACTGGAGCTTTCTCTCAAATAAATGGGCAATCCCAGCCACCCTTCCTCCAGTTTAAAGCGTTCTCCCTTTGCATAGCACCACCAAACCAGTAAGCCAGTAGAATCATAGAATCATAGAGTTGGAAGAGACCACAAGGGCCATCGAGTCCAACCCCCTGCCAAGCAGGAAACACCATCAGAGCACTCCTGACATATGGTTGTCAAGCCTCTGCTTAAAGACCTCCAAAGAAGGAGACTCCACCACACTCCTTGGCAGCAAATTCCACTGTCGAACAGCTCTTACTGTCAGGAAGTTCTTCCTAATGTTTAGGTGGAATCTTCTTTCTTGTAGTTTGGAATCCATTGCTCCGTGTACCGCTTGTCTGGAGCAGCAGAAAACAACCTTTCTCCCTCCTCTATGTGACATCCTTTTATATATTTGAACATGGCTATCATATCACCCCTTAACCTCCTCTTCTCCAGGCTAAACATGCCCAGCTCCCTTAGCCGTTCCTCATAAGACATCGTTTCCAGGCCTTTGACCATTTTGGTTGCCCTCCTCTGGACACGTTCCAGTTTGTCAGTGTCCTTCTTGAACTGTGGTGCCCAGAACTGGACACAGTACTCCAGGTGAGGTCTGACCAGAGCAGAATACAGTGGCACTATTACTTCCCTTGATCTAGATGCTATACTCCTATTGATGCAGCCCAGAATTGCATTGGCTTTTTTAGCTGCCGCGTCACACTGTTGGCTCATGTCAAGTTTGTGGTCAACCAAGACTCCTAGATCCTTTTCACATGTACTGCTCTCAAGCCAGGTGTCCCCCATCTTGTATTTGTGCCTCTCATTTTTTTTGCCCAAGTGCAATACTTTACATTTCTCCCTGTTAAAATTCATCTTGTTTGTTTTGGCCCAGTTCTCTAATCTGTCAAGGTCGTTTTGAAGTGTGATCCTGTCCTCTGGGGTGTTAGCCACCCCTCCCAGTTTGGTGTCATCTGCAAATTTGATCAGGATGCCCTTGAGTCCATCATCCAAGTCGTTGATAAAGATGTTGAATAAGACCGGGCCCAAGACAGAACCCTGTGGCACCCCACTAGTCACTCTTCTCCAGGATGAAGAGGAACCATTGATGAGCACCCTTTGGGTTCGGTCAGTCAGCCAGTTACAAATCCACTGAGTGGTAGCATAGTCAAGACCGCATTTTACCAGCTTCTTTACAAGAATATCATGGGGCACCTTGTCGAATGCCTTGCTGAAATCAAGGTAGGCTACATCCACTGCGTTCCCTTCATCTACCAGGCTTGTAATTCTGTCAAAAAACGAGATCAGGTTAGTCTGACATGACTTATTTTTCAGAAATCCATGCTGACTATTGGTGATCACAGCATTCCTTTCTAGGTGCTCACAGACTGTTTGCTTAATGATCTGCTCCAGAATCTTCCCTGGTATTGATGTCAGACTGACTGGGCGGTAATTATTTGGGTCCTCTCTTTTCCCCTTTTTGAAAATAGGGACAACATTTGCCCTCCTCCAGTCTGCCGGGACTTCGCCTGTTCTCCAGGAATTCTCAAAGATGACTGCCAGTGGTTCTGAGATCACATCTGCCAGTTCTTTTAATACTCTTGGATGCAGTTCATCTGGCCCTGGAGACTTGAATACATCTAAACTAGCCAAGTATTCTTGTACTATCTCCTTAGTTATTCTGGGCTGTGTTTCCTCTGCTGAATCATTTGCTCCAAATTCTTCAGGTCGGGCATTGTTTTCTTTATCGGAGAAGACTGAGGCAAAGAAGGCATTGAGGAGTTCAGCCCTTTCTGTGTCCCCTGTTTGCATTTCACCATCTTCTCCTCTGAGTGACCCCACTGTTTCTTTGTTCTTCCTTTTGCTACGAACATACCCATAAAAGCCTTTTTTGTTGCTTTTAACCTCTCTAGCAAGCCTGAGTTCATTCTGTGCTTTAGCTTTTCTGACTTTGTGTCTACATGTGCTGGCTATTTGTTTGAATTCCTCTTTGGTGGTTTCCCCCCTTTTCCATTTTTTGTACACATCCTTTTTAATCTTAACTCAGTTAAAAGTTCTTTAGATAGCCACCCTGGCTTCTTTAGGCACCTTCCATGTTTCCGTCTCATTGGTATTGCCTGAAGTTGTGCTTTTACTATCTCCCTCTTAACAAACTCCCAGCCATCATGAACTCCCTTTCCTTTTAGTATTACTGTCCATGGGATCTCACCCAGCACTTCCCTAAGTTTTATGAAGTTGGCTTTCTTAAAGTCAAGAAATTGAGTCCTAGTATGCTTGGCTGCTCCTTTCCGCTGTATAGTAAACTTCAGAAGAGCATGATCACTCGCGCCTAATGATCCTTCCACTTCTACCCCACTAACCTGGTCATCAACATTGGTTAGGACCAGATCTAAAATGGCTCCTCCTCTTGTTGCTTCTCCCACTTTCTGGACAATGAAGTTGTCTGCAAGGCCAGTGAGGAATCTGTTTGACCTTATGCTCTTGGCTGGGTTAATTCCACAGAGATGCCATTGCCCCTCTTGCACATAAGACTTTTGATTGGCTCCCCTCTTCTCTGGTCCTCTGGCTCCCTCTTTAGGCAGGTCAGTGCAATACCTGATGTAGAATTGAAAACCCCCACCAAATCATTACCTTCATTGCTACTAATACTAATACTAATAATTTATTGTTTATACCTCGCCCATCTGACTGGGTTCCCCCAGCCAGTGTGGTGTAGTGGTTAAGAGCGGTAGTCTCATAATCTGGGGAACCGGGTTCGTGTCTCCGCTCCTCCACATGCAGCTGCTGGGTGACCTTGGGCCGGTCACACTTCTTTGAAGTCTCTCAGCCCCACTCACCTCACAGAGTGTTTGTTGTGGGGGAGGAAGGGAAAGGAGAATGTTAGCCGCTTTGAGACTCCTGAAGGGGAGTGAAAGGCGGGATATCAAATCCAAACTCCGAGCGGCTTCCTTGTCAGCACGTGTAGAATGACTGGTGGTGTTGACATTTTTAAGTTTGACTGTAGTGGTGGTTAGTGCCTATTATTTTCATTATGACAGTCATACCTTGGTTGCCGAACGCCTTGGAACTCGTATGTTTCAGCTCCCAAATAATCGAAAACTGGAAGAGAGTTGTCAGGGGTTCAGGGAGAGAGGCACAGATGAGGGAGGAGACTGAGAGCGAGGGGGAAGAATCCAGGAACGAGGAGGAAGAGGATGACAATGACTTGAGGGCTTCCATGAGTCTCTCAAGTGAATTGGAGGATTCCCAGAAGGGGGCGCCCCTGGTCAGGCCAAGGGGAGCCACAGGGGGGACTCATCAGGAGCAGGGGAGCAGCAGGGAAACCCCGAGTGGGAGTGGGAGATCGGGGCCGGCTTCCCAGCCGGAACGGAGTGAAGAGGGTGGAGTTCCCAGTGTGACACAAGGAGCAGAGCAGGAAGAAGAGAGGGGAAGGAGATCGGGGCAAGACGTCCTGCCGGAAGGGGCGGAGAGTAGTACAGAGAGTAGTATAACTGTCAAGAGGAAGGTCAGGGGTAGCGAACGCGCGCCAAGTTCAAATGTGGAGGCGCGCGGAAATGCGGAGAGCCCGGAGGAGGAGCCTGGTCCCAAAGCACGGAGGAGGGGGGAGCAGGCGTCTGGGGACTCAGCGTCAGGGGAAAGCAGGAGGGAAGGAACCCAGGGGGGCAGAAAGACCCTGCGGAAAAGGAAGGACAGGAAGAGGTGGACTAGCACAAGCCTCTTAAACTGGTGTAGAGGCGGGACTGATTCAGAGGGGACTTCAGCGGTCTAAGCGTAACAGATGTGGGGCTGCGCGCCTCGGCTGTGGAACAAACAATGTACTCCAATAAAGACTTTTGTAAATAAAGTGGACTTGGCGTTGGTCTCTTGTGAGCTGGGACCTGAGGCGGCCCTGACAGTAAGTCCCCTCTCAAAAAGAACGCAAAAATTTTTTTTTGCAAAGCTCATGAAGTGTGGCAACCATGAGTGCGGAAGAGCAGTTGACAGCACTACGAAACGCAGTCTCCGAGCTTTCCACTGCGGTAGTGGTCTCCCAGAAGAAGAGTGAAGAAGCGGAGGCGCGATGTCACGATCTGCAAACCAGGTGGGAACGTGCGTGCAAAGAGGGGTTCCCGGGGTCCAGATCAGAGGGAATCGGACTCGGAAGGCAGGGAGGAAATTTAGTAGCCCCCTTCGATGGGAACCTGAAGCACTACCCCAGTTTCAGGGCAGACGTCCTGTATGCACTGCATTTGCTTCGCAATGACTTTAAAGATGAGGAGGAGAAAGTCGGTTTTATTGTGTCTCATTTGCATGGAGACGCCAGAGCGTGGCTGCGCAATTTGTGGCGTGAAGATGGTCCTGCCCGCCGCGATTCTGATGAATTTATTAAAGCGATGGACGCTTGTTTCCAGTCCACCGTGGATGTTGATGTTGCGCGCCAACAGATGCATGGACTCAGACAAGGCAAAGCCACTGTGCGTCAGTACCATTCGCGCTTTTTTGCATTGCTGACTGTATTGGGCTGGGAGAAAGACTCCAAACCAGTGAGAGATTTGTTCTGGGAGGGACTCCACAGCTCCATAAAAGATGAATTGGCTAGGGGTGACAGACCTCAAACCCTAGCAGACGTAGTACAGAGGGCTCTTGCCATTGGAATATGACACGAAGAACGTCCTTGGCACAATGAGGAAGGTTGCCAGGTGCGTGCGCCAGCGAGGGCACCTCCTTTATCCCCAGGGAGTTCGGCCAGGCGCATCCTTCGCCTCTAATGCGGCAGGGGGAGGAACCAATGGAGCTTGGCGGTGCTAGAGCTCAGACAGCAGCCAGAGCCCCAACGTCCGGTG